TTAGACGAAAATATAGTTTCGATGGTATTCACTACACCTATAAAGTTAGATTAGTAGCTAAAGGATATCAAAAAAAGAAAAAGAAAGAATTGACTATTTGACATATGTACATGTTGCTAGAATAATCTCGATAAAGGTTTATTTGCATCAGCATTTATATTTGATTTGCATGTTCACCATATGGATGACAAAATGATATTTCTAAATCGGAATCTCGATGAGAAGATCTATATGGAACAATCAGAAGGATTTGTTCTACCAGGAAATGAATACAAAGTATGTAAATTAGTTAAGTTCTTATATGAGTTGAAACAAGAACCTAAAAATGGCATGAGAAATTTGATTTTATTATTATGTCATATGATTTTGTTCATAACTTCGTTGACAAATGTTTGTGTACTGAAGTGCACAATGATATTTTTATATTTATGTCTCTATGTTGATGATATGTTAATTATTGGTAATAACATGAAATGAATTAAAGAAATAAAGAATTTTCTATCTTCCAAGGTCAAAATGAAGGATCTTGAAAAAGTGGATACTATCCTAAGTATCAGAGATAAAAGGAAAGTTATGATTAGCCATTAAGCTTACATTATATTGAGAATGTGATAAATAAGTTCAAACATTTTAATATTAAAGAGGTGAATACCTTGTTGAATCCAAAAATCAAATTAGTAAAGAACGATGGAAGAGCAATATCACAAATCGAATATGTAAGTGTAATTGGAAGTCTTATGTACACGGTACAATGTACAAGACCTGATATTGTGTTTATTGTTAGGAAACTAAGTAAGTTTACTAGTAATTTAAGTTCAAGACATTGGAAGGCCATTGAGGGAGTTCTTGATCACTTAGAAAAATTAAAAATCTTGAACAACGATATTCAAAGTTCCCAGCAATTCTAGAAGGATATACTAATGTTAGTTGGATATTTAGTGCAAGAGAAAACAAATCTACTCTAGGTAGGATGTTTACTCTTGGAAGTGTGAAATTTCTTGAAGTTCTAAAAAACAAACATGCATTACATACTCAACAATGGAGTCTGAGATTGTAGCATTGGCCGAAATAGGAAAAGAAGCTGAATAGCTTCGGAATCTTCTTTGTGAAATTCCTTAGATTGCAAATGATATTTCTACAGTATCTATTTTATGTAATAGTCAAGTCACCTTAATACGAGTATATACCGAAGCATATAACAAAAAGTCTAGACATATAAGTCTAAAAATAACTATATGAGAAAATTTATTAAGGGTGGAGTAATATATCTGACATATGTGAAATTGAGTGAAAACTTAGTTGATCCATCGACTAGACAACAACAATATCAGCATGATCAACATAAAAAAGGAGGGGTTAAAACTACTTGATTACAGATCCACCAATGATAGAAATCCTACATACCTACACTAAAATAAGTATATCTAAGTGTAAAAATAAGTCATTAGGTAAGTAGATAGTTTCAGCACTATATTTTAAAACACTATCCTTGATAAATAGTACTGGTTGTTACAATTGGAATGTTGAGTTTATAAAACTTTTAGTGAAATTTAGTACGGATTATAAGTATCTTTAAAAGTAACAAAGATACTCAAAGAATGTCATTTATGTGAATTTCGAGGTGGTGCCGTCTCAATAAACAGTTAGAGTTTCTCTCTCGAAAGTACAATGAATAGGATAAGCCCTCGTTTGGCCCCTATTTTGTGGAAATGAAAATGGGTGAAATAGTGTTTTTTTTTTAAATGAATTGTTGAAAAAAAAAGTTTTAAATTTACATGTAATATTATTTTATGAAAAATTGTGTGGTTGAAATAGGAGAGAAAAAATAAAATGTAATGTAAAAATTAATGGGGGCCAAACGAGGGCTAAATGCAAAGCCATAATAGTACTAAGCAAGTTTGAGGAACTTGTGAAACGTATAACACTTGTGTTTATTTTCAACATTAACATCACAATGAATAATTGGTTCAAAACTATCGTGCTACCTAAAATTTCCATGATACTTTATGGAATTACACTATGGCTAAATTCAAATTGAATGATATCTAAACCTTATGTATAAGTGTTGCTAGTTTGAATTTATACAGTTTTGAACAAGTGAAAGGACTGTCATAATTTTGCAACATCATAGTAGAAGAATTGGACAAATAGAGAATTGAACATCGATTGAAATTAACACGTGGGCAAGCGGGCTAGACAATTATCCCATGCGCATGCATGGACTTTATGGCCATGCACATACTTCTAGTTTAATAGAAGCCAACACCAGTAAACTACGTGCACATGGTTAGTGAAACATGCTGGTTTCATAATTTGTTTTTCTGGTATCTTTTCGAGAAAAGTTCTCAACTTTTCAAGAATGATTGGAGCCAGGGGCGGAGCCAGAAATTTTGTCCAGTGCGGGCAAAATTTAATCAAGGTTGAATTTTTCGGTTATGAATTTGATGATATTATGACAATGCTAAAAATGACATAGTGACAACACTAATAAAATAATCATCTTCTTCCTTATTTTAGGATTTGTAGCGAGTTGTGCAACATCAAAATCAATTTTATTCGATATCTCTTCATCAATATTTTCTACGAAATATTTCCTTTTAAAGAATCTCTTCATTGGCGCTTGACACTAAAATAAATCACAAGTGAAAATTATATACTAATTGATAAGAAAACAACTACTAATTTTTATAAATTGGTAGACACTAGAAAATCATCACTAATTGTTTAGCTAATTGACAGAAATCAAGATTTCAAGAATCCATCACAAATATTACCAAAATTCAACATTCACATAATCAAAATACCTAATATTAAATAGAAAAATCTCCAATATTACACAGAAAACTCACATGATCAAGAAAGTTTTTGTTGCAAATTTGAGGGCCCAAGAAAATATGGGTTTTAGAAAAGAGATGAAAAAAAAATTCAAAACGAGAGTAGATTAAAAGAAATTTTTTAATTTCTTGTCGTGGGGAAAGAGTCAGAAAATGTCATCGTACACTTGGGGTTTGGGCAAATTAGTATATGGACTGGACTATAAATAAATGAAAAACCTAAATTAAAAAAAAATAAAAATTAGATTGATTTTGGGCTTATGCCAAAGGTCCAGTGCGGGCATTTGCCCTCACTGGACCTTGAATGGCTCCGCCCATGATTGGAACCTCTTCGTAGTATATGGTGGAAAACTACAAATAAGTGATAAATTTTCGTTTCTAAACACAAGAATCACCATTCTATATAATCTTTGAGTAACTCCAATTCTTAAACAAAATTTAAATTCTTTAAAAGTTTCTATCAAGCTTGGAAGAATCACTTGTGCTTTAGTGTTTCTTCTATAAATGCTTATTTAATCTTACAAACTATTTGTTGGCAAATCCCTTTAGTACTCTAAAAAGACTAGAGAGGCAATTATCGTTTAAAGATTGCATTTTGTGTTCAAGAATAAGAGATCAAACAAGATCAAAATGTTAGGTCTAAAGTGTATTGACAAGTTTCGTGTCCAAAATAATAAGTAATTAAGTTGTAATTAGAGTCAGGTTGTTGGTGGTTGGGATTGTCTTTGGAATGAGTCAAAGTAATCTCAAGAAGACTAAGTAGTCGAAAAAAAGCTCAAAGTCTGCGAGGAAAGTACTCGAGCAATTTTAGCAGAGAGTCCTCTACTTGAGGTTTGCGATTAGAGCGCTCGAGCGATCTACCTACTGTTCGCTGTTTGCGAGAACTCTGCTCGAGCAGACGGGTTATTCAGCCCAACCCTAGTTGCAATTTTCAGCCTATTTTACAATCCTAAACAAACTTCATATTATAAATATCAAAATCATAGTCAGTCCCAAAGATGTGTTAAGCCTCTTTTCATTCAAGAGAACCTCCTATAGAAGATCAAACAACAATTTAATAATTCTCTTGAGAGAAACACACGATCAAAACACTAAACGTACAAAACATCAAAACACCGAAAACAAAATTCTTTACAAAATAGCTTTCAAAGTTCTGAAATTTGGGAAAGGTGATTGGAGTTTCAATTGGAGAAAAACGAGTTTGTTTTTAGTGATCCACATGGAGGAAAATTGCAAGAGACACAATCAAAGAGTTTTTCAGTGATTTACAGGTTGGATGGTCAAAGAATACTAAGGTATAGTTGTGTCTGAATTAACTATAAGTTAAATTTTTTCTAGTGGATCTGTTTGACAAGGTTTACTTGGAATTATTTATCATTGTGAAGAGTTCTTCAGGAGGTTTCTCTTCATTGTTAAATATTAGTGTTCTTTACTTTTGCTACTTTGATTTGCATTCTTAATTGACTGTTCGAACCTTCAAAACAATCTCAAATGTAGGAATATAACAGTGACATATATTAGGTAAATCTAAATTTATTAGTTTGAATTTTGAGATAGAATATTTAATATGTTTATTTGAGGGGAATGTAAAATATATTAATATTATATTTTCTAGAAATAAAGCAAAGTGAAAAGTCGCTTTCTAGCAGATGTACTCGGATTCCATTCTAAAGTACGATACTGTTGAATTTTATGCCCTATTCTTGAAATGCATGGCTTTGAAAATAAAGGGTTGCCTTCCAACTACTGTTTTCTTTTGGAGATTACTCAAATCAATGAATTTTATGCGTAACAGTAAATCTTCTAATATAATTTATAGTAAGGAAATTATTTCTTTAGATTTATATTTGTTCTTGGATTGCAATAGCTTGTCAACGGAATCAGGGGCGTATCCCTAACAGATATCGTGTCAACATCTGTACCTTTCCTGTTTAATTGCAAATTAACAAATGACTAGATTGAAACCTGGAAAAAAGCTTGGAGTTAGTCGCAGTGTTAGACAGAATGGCAAATCAAATTATTGCAGCATAGGTCTTATATATTTTAATGTTCTTGTACCTAAAAAGAAGAGAAAATAAAAAAACTTAGCAAGTTTGATAGAGTACTAGGTGCAAAATGTCTCTGCATGTGCACATTTTATTCAAAATTCCTAGACTCTGAAGTTATTTAGGTTTCTTGGCCTCCAGTTTCTGATGAGTTGCTTGCAAAGATTGATGTCTCTGAACTCCAGTGGCCCCCGCTATCCGCGTTTTGCATTGCTGAATTCTGCAGTACGAGTCAATCAGTACAAAGTAAATTAATCAAAACCAAATATCGGAATGTTCTTACAAGGAATTACGAGCTTTGTACGTACCTGCCGATCAGGGGAAACTTGGTCAGGATCATGAATTGCTTCAGGCGAAGTTCTTTGATTCATGTCCATGCCAGATCCTTGTTGCACGCTAGAATAATTATGAATAAAGTAGTCCATCTCTAGAAAATTAAAGAAACCATCGGATGGATATCTAGGGTTTGATGAAGGATTTGAGCCAGTTCTGACATTGCTTGGACCAGACTCATGATATTGCTGATGGGAATTCATGATTGGTGCCATAGTTATAGTTTCATGTCCATCATCATTGGGAATGTCCTTTTCAAAATGGATTTTAGAACCTTCACTGGCTTTGGGATGCTCCTGAAATAGCAAACTATTATTTTTTTGACCGGGCATTGATCCGAATCTTCTGAGCTTAATTTGGGCCGAAGAATCAGCGTCTGAAGATGCTGTAGGAACAAAGTTTTGTTGATATTTTCGCTCTTCAGGAGGTCGCCAATTGTCATTCCGGCATTTCTCCATGAAAAGAAAAAAAAAAGTACAGAAAATAAATAAGAAATTCTGAGATAATTGAACTGGTAAACGGGATTCAACCAGACAAATAATGAAAATGCACGAGCCTTTCTTCAGTAATCACGTCCATCATACCAAGCACGCGTAGAAAACGAACCTGAAGATGGCTTGCTACTTGCATTCTTGTTAGGCCAGTCACATTCATTCGCTTCAAGATCTCTTTAGGGAAACACCCTATAATTTTAAACACAAAACATGTACATATATCTTGTGACACACGAGACTATATATTTTTTGGAAACACACAAGAGACTATAGTGTCAATAAATTTATTGGTATAAAATAAAAATGATAAAATGCAATAATTAAAGGAACAAAAAGCTTACTTCCATCACCAAGCTGCGCCACAGCGTCCATAAATTTTCCATGAAGTTCTCGAGTCCACTCAGTACATACTCTTCTCGTGCATACTCTTTTCCTAACCTTATTATCGATTATTTGATGTTCCGGTTCATATTCTTCATTCTCGACTGAACCCTTTCGTCCTAGTATTTTCCTCTTTCCTTTATATTTGTTGTCCTTCATGTTGTTGCTTCCAACAACGTTGTTTTCTTCCTCAACTTCTCCTCTAAATTCGATCCCTCCCATGTTATTATTTGCTTGAGTAATTCCCATTAGCCTTTCCTTTTCTTTATAATTGCTCATTTTCTCTCTCTCCACATGCTGCCAAAGGTATTTCAAGATGTCCAATGTAACTGGTTTCTTGATATAGAGCAAAGCTCCATGTTCTAGAGCTCCCGTTGCAAGGAATTCATTGTCCTCAACTGATAGCACTGAGTTAAAAACAATATTTGCAAGGAAAATAAATATATGAACTGAGAAGATTGACTAGAAAATTTAAATTCTTGTAGAGAATATTCATTTTTATTTGGAGCAAGGAAAAGAAATAGGCGATGAAATTAATAAGGATCTAGAAATACTTACAAATCACTGGAATGTCCATGTTGACTGCTTGTTGTAGAAGCTTATATCCGTGCATGTCGGGAGAGTTTATATTTGCCATGACAAGATTGAAATTTGATTTTTCACTTGAAAGCATTTTTAAAGCAGTCGAAGCAAGTTCAACACATGTAACTGAGACAAATTCATTTCGGAAGACTAATTATTGACAAGGAAAATAATAAGACTACGAAAACTTGCAACATATAAGTAAAGACAAGTTACTTGGCTAAAAGAACAAGAATGAAAACCGAATACCTTTTAATTATTAATATAGAAGAATAAGACAAAAAAAAAATGATGGATAGAACAAAAGTTCAGAGAAATCATGTCTCGATATAAACATGAAATCTACAACCAACATTTTTTCCAAATAAGTGTGCAAAAAACCTGAAAAAACTACAGATGTAATTCAAAATAAAGAAGAATGAAGTCTCAACAAAAGAAGTAAAATCTCTTGGATGCTTTATTGTCTTAAAATATGGCCACTTTAAATCATTTAAACCCTATTTATGCAATGAAATTAAATCAAAAGAGAAAATTAAGAAGACTTTGAAAATTTACTCTTGATCTTTCTGTTTTATGAAATGACAAATTAATTTTTGATTTGTCTACCTCTGTATGAGCATAGCTCTAACATTTTTGCTGTTGAAATCAGACAATCAAAATCATGATCCACTAGCAACACATGAACCTCACGCTGCACATGGTAAGAATTTAATGAAGTGTTTCCACCAGCATTTGGCCAAAACCCTCCTAAGTCGAACATGATGTTCGAATTGGATGAAGAGATGACTATTGAAGAGTGAGACACAAGAGCAGAATGAGTAAGAATGCACAGACAGGTATATTATAGGTGTTTTGGTAACAATTTGTACTATTTTGTGACTAAGTTATTTTTCCACCAATATTAAAAAGTTGAATTTATTTTGTAACGTATAAAGAAAACCTTATAGCATTATTAGATTTGTATGTGAATGAATGGTTAAAGTTCAAATATTATGTGTCCCAATTCGTGTAGACCACTTACAAGACCATAGGTTTAGTGATATTTATGAAATCAATGAATGCTTTCGTTATTGCACTTACTATATACTTTCTTATTTAGCATGATGAATTTATTACATCGCCATAGAATTTTATTTCTAGGAGGGAAGAACTCTACAAAGTCAAACCATTTTATTATACAACGTTGTAATAGTAAGCATATTTAATGTGTAAACACTCATTTTTCGAGTTATATTTTCTGGAAAATGTGGAACTTATCTGGTAGAACCTTATTAATTACTGCCAACTTACTATAGTTTCTAAATTTGCTTCTCTGTCCCATTTATGACGCATTATATTGTCATTATTTGTACTTACTTTTTAACGTTTGACATAATTGGGAGTCATTTTATTGTTACTTTGAAAAATATTTTTATTCAAAGTTAACATTGATGACATTTACCAATCTTGATTTTGACCCACTCACACTGAATTTGTGACTAAAACCATTCATGTCTTATATCCTTCATTATTCTTTATTTTCTAATTAAGATTGTTGTAATTAAGTATTATGCATAAATATTTGTTTATATTTCATCAATTTTGATTTTACTTATCATATCTGGTCAAGGATAAGAATGTTTAATGGTTACTGAACTTGTATATCAAGTTATTTAATGTATGTTTGACCACCAAGGTGCTATCTTATAAGCATTTAGGGCCCATAAAAATGTGTTGGACAAAGATAAGGCAATTGTGGACCCTAAACCTAATAATCTAATAAGGATGGTGATGCTTATAACATTTGGAATGAAGTTACTTGTAGAAAGTTGGGTTATAAAGTGTGTTGGCAAAATTCAGACCATTGATTTCAAATGATTTAAGAATCTTTTTTTGAAATGATTGATGTGGATGTAATTTTGTCATCCAACTTTGTCAACTTCCTTTGTAAGTATAGTATAAATCTAATATTTTACTCATCTTTTATCCGCACTCTTTATTGATCCTGATACTTATTGGATAGGAGCTTATTTGCCAAAAGAGGCTTTAATGGTCTTTATTTTATCGTCATTATGTTATTGAACTTATAATGTTTTAATCACAATACTCTGGTCTGGGCATAGTTAGCTTGACAATGGAAATAGTAGTGTGGTAGTTGATATGTTAGTTAATATTGTGTTCATGCAAAATCTATAAACATTGTGTCATCATTTATTTCTACTATTTTCCAATTTTGACAAATAATGGAGTTAAGCTGAATGACTCTATTTGATGTTAGTATGGTAGACCGTTGAACTCTCGCAATGTTGAAGGTGTGAACTCAATCCATCATCGTCATTTGGGAAGATGAAATTTTTCCAGAAGTACTCACACTCCACTCTTAATGCCTCGGTTGCAAATCCTTCAAGAGGTCATTATTAAGTAGAAAACGAAATGCTGCTATCGGGGTTCTCACATTCTTCGCCAGAAAGGAAGGGAAGTATGAAAAAAATGAGAGAACCTAAAGGATGAAGAATAATTTTCTACATTAAAATTGTGGAGTGTTTAGAGGAGGGAAGCTGGAAAGTTAAAATTGTGGAGTGTTTAGAGGTGTGGAAAAATGCATGACATGTAGCATTAAAGAATAAGTAATTATTGATGAAAGGCAAGTATCAAATATTAAGGAAAAGAAAGATTGTAAGGGTATCCGTAATATTGACAATGAAGCTAACAATCTGGTATCTTAGACAAGAATCGATTAAGCCATCCACTAAAGAAAATTGATCTCGAAAATCTCAGCAAATAAAGAAAAGAATCGATCAATCTCCATATGATCAAATCATTCCAAGAGAATTGAAGCAGGTTGTAAAATCCTTATTATTTAGTTTCTTAACCTTTGCAATCATTCCTTAATTTGTTCTAATTGTACTGCAGCACTTGTATAAATTTCGGTTGAATAAATGAGAATAAAGAGAGAGCCTTCAATATTGAAGGAATTGTAACACAAAGAGGAAGAAAAGATTAATTCTAAAAAGGAAAATGAGTTACATCAATTCATCCATAACCAACTGCTACACAAAAGGTTAACCATGCTTTTGGTCAACAACTTCCTGCCAACCACTACCATACTGTGGACAGCCTAAGACCATACTTTGATAGACATTTTAATCACCAAAATAAACATTACATGGACTTAAATTTAATACATAAAGATACTACAAATTGTTTCAGCAAAAGTGACAAACTAATATCAATACTCCTCCTTGACACTTTTGCTGGAAATACCAAGACATTCTTAGTGTTCCAAACCTCCATTTGGATAAAGACTTGGTAAGAATGTCAACATATTGATTTTTCAGTATTGTAATGCATTAACTTCACTTCATCATTTTCTTGTGCTTCTCTTATTGAATGATATTTGATCTTTATATGCTTGGTTCTTCCATGAAACACTGGGTTTTTAACCATTGCAACTGCTAATTAGTTGTCACAATAAATGACAGTTGCAATACTTTCTTTATAGTTAAGATCCTCCAACATTTTTCTCAGCCAGATAACTTGGTTAGTGGCTTTGATGCAACCACATACTTTGCCTCTGTTGTTGATTGAGCCACGATTTTTTGCTTTATTGAGTTCCAGCAAATGACATTTGATCCCAGATAAAATACATAGCCAGAGGTGCTTTTCATATCATCAGCTGAACCGGTCCAGTCACTATCAGTAAAACCAATTAAAACCAGGTTTTTGACTTCCTAAACCAGATCCCCACTTTTGCATTCCCTCTAATGTATCTCAGGACCCTTTTTGCAACTTGAAAATGTAAGTCAATTGGTTCTTACCTGAATCTGGAAAACAGATTTGTAGCAAAGGTGATGTCTGGTCTTGTGATTGTTAGGTACAATAGACATCCAACCAGGCTTCTAAGAATTTTCTCATCAGTTATCTTGATTCCATCATCTTTTACCAGCTTCAAGTTTTAAATCAGTGTAGTACTAACTGGTTTGCAATTCTCCATGCTGAATTTCTTCAAAATCTTCTTAGCATACCTCCTTTGATAGATAAAAATGCCTTCTTGTGATTGATCCACTTCCATTCCAAGAAAATACTTCATTTCTCCTAAATCTGTCATCTCAAATGCCAACATCATTTCAGCTTTTACTCTGTCAATTAAAGCTTCACCGTTGCTGATTACTATTAGATCATCAACATACAGGGAGATGATGATTGATTCTTCCTCCACTTGCTTTATGTATAAAGTTTTCTCATTAACACTTTTCACAAATCCAAGATTGCTCAAAATATTCATCCATGCTGCTGTACCAGGCTCTTGGAGCCTGCTTCAAACCATATAATGCCTTCTTGAATAGATACACCTTGTCTTCCTTTCCAGCCACCAAAAAACCATCTGGTTGATCAACATAGATTTCCTCATTTAAGTAGCCATTTAAGAAGGCTGACTTAACATCTAGTTGATGAATTTTCCAGCCACTTTGAGCAGAAATTGCAAGCAACAATCTGATGGTTTCATACCTGGCCACTGGAGCAAATTTATCTGTGTAATCAACACCATATTGCTGAGCATATCCCTTCACAACTAACCTGGCTTTTAGCTCGTTGATTGATCCATCTGAGTTCAGTTTGGTCTTATACACCCATTTAACTCCAATTACATTTTTGTCTTTTAGTCTGTCAACCAACTCCCGGGTTCCATTCTTTTCTATCATGCTAAGCTCCTCCTTCATTGCAGCCATCCAACCATGTGAATTCACTGCCTCATTGAAGTTTGAAGGCTCCATCACGGTTGCATTACATCTGGCATATACATCAGCAAGTGGCCTAGTAGTACAGCATTTTCTAAGTCTGAGTCACTATCAGGTCTTGGTTCATCCTCATTGGTGATAATGTCTTCCCTTTCATGAGAAATCAGCCTTGAAGTTTGTAATTTATCCAAGGTACTTGCTTCCCAATTCCATAAATCATCCACTTAATATCCCTGCTGGACATTATCTTCTTGGTTTGAGGATTATAAACCTTGTATCCTTTAGCATTATCACAGTAGCCAACCAACACTCCAACCTTTGCCTTTTGACTCAGTTTGTCTCTTTTAACATCAGGTATGTGAGTGTAGCATATGCTTCCAAACACTTTCAAATGCGAGACATTAGGCTTAACCCCAAACCATGCTTCAAAAGGAGTTTTTTGTTCAGAACTTTTGAAGGTAATCTGTTAAGTAGGTAAGTTGTTGTGTTTACAGCTTCTGCCCAAAAGACCTTTGGAACATTTTTCTTAAGCATCAAACACCTAGCCATGTCCATCACCGTCCTATTTTTTTCTCTCACACACTCTATTTTGCTGAGGTGTGTAAGGAATTGTCAATTGGTGTTTGATTCCAACAGCATCACAGAACTTGTCAAACTGATCATACTTGTATTCAGTTCCATTGTCAGTTCTAATGACCTTTATTCTACAATTGCTCTCATTTTCTACCAGATTCTTGAACTTTTGAAACACACACAGCAACCTCTATTTTCATTTTCAAAAAATACACTCAACACATCCTTGTCAGATCATCAATAAAGAGCACAAAGTATCTACTGCCATTAAGAGTTTGTGTTCTCATTGGACCACACACATTTGAATGGATCAATTCCAACTTATTTGTAGCTCTTCTTGACTGATTTTTGGAGAATGGCAATCTGGTTTGCTTTCCAAGTTGACAAACATCACAAACACAACTTTCATCACAAATAACAGGCAGGTTTTCTACAAGTTTCAGCTTGTTCAATTGCTTAAGTGAGGTAAAACTCGCATGTCCAAAACGTTCATGCCAAAGAGAAGACTCTTCAACAGTGCTAGAGAATGCATAAGATGACATATTTTTCCATTCTAAAGGAAAACTTCTTTGTTTCATTTGAACTGTCATCACTTCATTTCCATTTCTATCCATTATAATGCAACAATTATCTTTGAATATGAGTGTATAATTTTTCTCAATTAACTGACCTACACTAACTAAGTTTTGATCTATGTTTGGCACAAAATGGACATCAAAATGTACTTAATACCTATTGAAGTCTACACAAAAATCACACCAATCCCATCCACTTTGACATACTCACCATTTCCCACCTTCACTTTTGATTTATAATTGCTTTCAAGTTTGACAAAGATGCTGGAATCTGAAGTCATATGATGTATGTAACCACTATCCAACAACCATGTTCCAACATCACTACACATCTTGTGATTTGTAGCTGTGAATAAGTGTTCTTCTTGCTGATCTTGTTGCTGATTTTCAGCAACCTGTGCCAGTTGCTTGGATTGCTTTTCCTTGATATTTTTGCACACCTTTTGAACATGTCCAAATTGTTTACAACCCTTGCACTGAACTCCTGGCATGTACCAACACCATTTTGGAGAATGGCCGATTTTTTTGCAATGAGGACAAGGTGGATAGGCATCACTTTTATCAGCAGCTTTGCTGCCTTCAACTCTCTTCTTCTCTTGCTGATGCTTCTTCACACCATAGCTTGTTTGCACTTTGTGTTTTCCTTTAACAAACAAGGCACCTTCTACCTATTCTTCCTGTCTCATTAGCCTCATTTGCTCAGTAGCTTGCAAGGTATTAACCAACTCAAACAAGGTTATAGAAAACAGGTCTTTAGAGTCTTCAAGAGAAGAGATTTTTGCCTCAAATTTTTCTAGCAAACTGATCAGCACCTTCTCCACAACTCTCTTGTTAGGTAAGTCATCTCCTAACAACCTTATTTGATTCACCACTCTCATCAGTCTATCAGAATATTCTTTGACCGATTCTGAGTCTTTCATCTTCAAGGTTTCATACTCCCTTCTTAAATTTAAAACTTGCATTTGCCTTGTTCTTGCATTGCCTCTATACTCTTCTTGCAATCTGTCCCAAGCTTCCTTTGCTGTCTCATAAGTTATAATCCTAATGAATATTGCATCAGAAACGATAGATTGGATGCAAGACAAACCTTGAACTTTTTTGCAACCTCCTCACTATGTTGCTTCAATTGAGCAATAGTAGGATTTTCACTTAGAGGAGGTGGTTCAATACCTGATTTTGTGATCTCCCATAGATCATATGCTTTCAAGTAAGCCTTCATCTTTGCAGCCGAAAAATCGTAGTTCTCCCCTGTAAACACTGAAGGTAGTAGACCTGATAAACTAATTGAAGCCATCACTCTCAGATATGATTTTTGCTGAAATGGTGAAAAATGTTTTGGTTGAGATTTCCTCACTTGTTTTCTCTCTTTTTTTGTTTTATTCCCTTTTTTTTCTTCCAAGATCCTTATTGCTCTGATACCACTGAAGGAATTGTAACACTAAGAGGAAGAAAAGATTAATTCTGAAAAGGAAAATGAGTTACATCAATTCATCCATAACCAACAACTACACAAAAGGTTAACCTTGCTTTTGGTCAACAACTTCCTACCAACCACTACCATACTGTGGACAGCCTAAGACCATACTTTGATAGACATTTTAATCACCAAAATAAACATTACATGGACTTAATTTTAATACATAAAGACACTACAAATTGTTTCAGCAAAAGTGACAAACTAATATTAATAAATATAATTTTTTTAAGAAAATTTTTCATGGTATTAGAGCCTTTAACTGCAAGCATACTCCAAAATAAAGTGTCTTCATCTTCTTCTATTCCAAAAGAAGAACCTAAACTCAACCTCCAAACCTTTCACCAATGCTCCAATTAAATTTCTATTAAACTAAGCAATTCCAATTTCATCCTATGGCATCCACAAATCATCCCTCTAGTTCATGGCCTTGGTTTGTACCACCATCTTGTTGATAAACTAGACATGGAAAACTTGGATGAGAAAGGAATCAAGACTCCAAATCCTAAATATAGATCATAGAGTACTAACAATAGTTTGCTAACTTCATGGTTCCTAGGCTCCATGAAAGAAGATGTGATTAGCTTGCTTTTCGAAGAAGCAAATGCTTCCTATGAGGTTTCTACACCCCTAGAACACAGTTTCTCCCTTCTACAGTAGATAATGAGTGAAATTTGAAGCACACGTTAATAAATGTTTTTAAAGGAACTCGCACTGTCACTGAATATTTGAAGGATTTTTAGTCAATTTACAACAATCATGCCACAATTAAGAAACCTATCCCTGGCCTTGATAAGGTTTTCCTGTTTGCTAGAGGACTTGGAAGCCAATACATGGACTTCCTAATAGCTATGCTCTCCAAACCATCATTCCCAACTTTTAGCGAGTTTGTCATGGAAGGTCAAACATTGGCTACACACACAGTGGAGGAAAAGGTGTATATTGAGCATGCTCAAGCATTTTTTGGCCAACGTAGTCGTGGAAGAGAAGGTCCTAGTGGTCGAAGAAACCAGTTTATTTCTCGTGGTAGACGATCCACACCTACGGCAACTATAATTTACAAAATGGCAGTCGACACAACTCTAGCTCTAGGCAAAATTCTATACAACCATTTAATAATCAAAGTCATCTACAAGGTTAGGAAAATAATGAAGATAACATTCAGCGTGCAAATAACCAATCTGGTAATGTTACTTGCCATATTTGTGGTAAGTTGAACCAAGTTGTAATCAATTGTTGATATTGATTTAACTATTCTTATCGAAGTGACGAAGTTCCACAAGCACAGGCTGCTCTCACCTTTAATAATGGAAATGATCCCTCCTTTTATGTAGACTCTGGAGCTACCTCGCACATGACTAATAATGCAGGTAATCTTTCTACTGTCGAGCCATATAAAGGAAATGATATGGTAGTTTTGGAAGATGGTACAAGATTCCACATTTCTCATATTGGTAATACAAGTATTACTTCAAAAGAGGAAAATTTAAAACTGAACAATGTTCTAGTGGTTCCAGAATTGAAAAAGAACTTACTTTCTGTTAGAAAGCTAACTTCAAATGATATTTGCTCATTTGAATTCACATATTCTAACTTTGTTGTTATGGATCAAAATCAAAGGATAATCGTGAAGGGGTATAAGAAGGGACAATTATATGCTCTGGATGGCAATTTCCATGAAGCTTTGAGTGCAATAAGTGGTTCAACTTCAACTATTTGGCATCAACGACTCGGTCATTCCCCATCTAAAGATAATATCTTTATTAAAAGAGAAAAATGTTATTGACATCTCTCATTGGATAGCTAAACCTCCTATATGCTTTAGTTGTCAGATTGGGAAAAGGTTATAAATTACTTTTAAAGCATTCTAATAAAATCTCAAAGTTTCCATTTGATAAAATACATTATGATATTTGGGGACCAGCTCTTTTGGCTTCTAATCAGAACTTTAGGTATTATGCATTATTTGTTTATGATTTTTCGCGATTCACATGGCTATATCCTTTAAAAGGGAAATCTAAACTTTTTGAATGCTTTAAGAAATTTCAGAAACTAGTGGAAAATCAGTTTGACAAGAAAATCAAAATATTTTAGTGTGATGGAGGAGGAGAGTTCAATTCAAAAGAATTTATTGATCATCTTGCTTATTGTTGAATTGAGTTACATTTATTTTGTCTTGGAACTCCAGAACAAAATTGAGTAGTAGAACATAAACAAAAATATGTGACAGAAATAGGGCTTACTATGATATTTCATGCTAATCTACCGTTATCATGGTGGGTTGAAGCTTTTTCCACTACAGTACATTTGATTAACAGGTTGCCATTGTGAAGTTTGAATAATGAGAGTCCTTTCTACAAATTTTACAAAAGATACCCAAATTACAATGGCTTGCGAGTGTTTGGTTGTCAAATGTTTTCCTTCTTTGCGTCATCAAAGAGGCTCATAATTTTCAAGAAAAGTCATACCCTAGTGTTTTCATTGGACACAGCCCCATTCATAAGGGATATTGTTGCTTGGAACCTATTACAAAAAAAAGCGTATATCTCTAGACATGTTGTCTTCAATGAAAGCATCTTTCCATTCAAGGCCATAACAGAAGTACCTGTACAACATCACTTTGATTTATCAGAGTTTCCCTCAACTGATGAATGGATCAACTCCAATAAAAATTCAAACTCAAGTTCTCCTGCACCTTTAGTTATAGAAACTAATGTTCCTTATCTTAATTGTTGTGATGGTGACATAATTGCAAGATCAGATTTACTTCTTTCAGATCATTCTATCGATAGTCATGAAGAATCTCAAACTAAGAATCAAGACCATTTAGATGTTAGTGAATTAAATTCTCCAACTATTTTTCCACCGCTCGAAGAGCCACAACAACACTCATAGTGAATACTAGGTGATATCATTGTATCAAATTGTGAAAACTCTCAACAACAAACTATAGAGATTGCTCCTTATGCTCATCAAGTATGTAGCATAGGGCCTCCTTCATATCTTAAGGATTTGTACTTGTTACAGTTGAAAATAATTAAGAGCCATTAATATCTGAGCCAAAGACTTTGAAGAGAGTTTTGAAGTATCCTCATTCGGTTCATGCAATGTAAGAAGAATTGCAAGCCTTGTATGATTTCAATACCTGGGAACGAGTTCCTCGTCCAAAGGATGTCAATGTTGTAGTATCCAAATGGGTTTATCGAATTAAAACAAAATAATATGGGACTATAGATCAATTCAAGACTTGACTTGTAGTAGAGGGATTCCCACAAGTACCAGGGCTTGATTATTATTGACATTGGTTTGACACTTTTGCTGTCGAAAGTCTTGTATTTTGTAGTACATATTTCTAGTCTAAATTATGGTCCTTTTGTAATAAAAAATCTATCAAAGTATGGTCTAATATAAGCTCATGTACTCTAATCATAATTAAGGCTATAGCAGGTAGATAGTGGTTGAAAAATGTGCTAGAATCCTTTTGTTATATTGTTTTAGCTTTCAACCGTGTTGTGTGTATGGAAGCTAATTATTCATCAGAATATATTGAACTTTCTTCCTCTTTGTTCCAATATTTTTTCTATCAATGGTATCAGTGCTTCAAATCTTAAAAGAAGCTGGAAAACTCTCTAATAGGTTCTTAAAAAAACCAGCAGCCTTTCACCAAAGTTAGCCTATTGATTTTGTGAGTTTTGAGGATGGTTTCAAGTGGTTTCTCAGCACCCCTACCTTCAGTGCTTACAGGAGAAAATTATGACTTTTGGACAGCAAAAATGAAGGCTTACCTGAAAGCATCCAACCTATGGGAAATAAAACAAACAGTTTGTGAACCACCACCTCTTAGAGCAAATCCAACTATTCCTCAGCTGAAGCAACATAGTGAGGAGGTTGCAAAGAAGTTCAAGGCCTTTTCTTACATTCAAACAGTCGTTTCTGATGCAATCTTCACCAGGATAATCACTTGTGAGACAGCCAAGGATGCTTGGGATAGATTACAAGAAGAATTTAGGGGTAATGTAAGAACAAGGTAGATGAAAGTTCTAAAGTTGAGAAGGGAGTATGAAACCTTGAAAATGAAGGACTCAGAATCAGTTAAAGAATATTCAGATAGGTTGATAAAAGTGGTGAACCAAATAAGGCTTTTGGGGAATGATTTACCTGATAGGAGGATTGTAGAGAAAGTGTTGATCAGCTTACCTGAAAAATTTGAGGCAAAAATCTCTTCTCCTGAAGATTCAAGGGACCTGTCCACCATAACGTTATCTGAACTTGTGAATGCTCTTCAAGCCACAGAACAGAGAAGACTAATGAGGCAAGAAGAACAAGTAGAAGGAGCTTTATTTGCCAAAGGAAAACATAAAGCTCAAACAAATTTTGGTGCTAGAAAGCAACAAGATGGAAAGAAGAAGGTGGAAAATAACAAGAGTGCCGGCAAAAGTGGAGTTTATCCTCTCTGTGTTCATTGCAAAAAAAAGAATACTCTCCCAAATGGTGTTGGTATAGATCTGATGTTCAATGCCGAAATTGTAAGCAATTTGGACACGTTCAAAAAGTGTGTAAAAATTTAAATGAGAAGCAAGCAAAGCCTCAAAATGGCGAAAAATCAACAACAACCCTAGGAAGAACATTTGTTCACTGCTATCAATTTTAAAGCTAGCGGCAATGTTGAAACTTGGTTGCTGGATAGTGGATGTACTCACCACATGACTTCAGATCCCAGTATTTTTGTTGAGCTGAATAACACTTACAAATCAAAGGTCAAGGTTGGCAATGGAGAACATGTGGAAGTGAAAAGAATTGGTGTGGTTTCAATACAAACT